GGTACTCAGCCCAGCTTGCAGTCAGCTCAGTAATTGCAGATGTGTACATAGGTGGGATTTCTAAAACTGCTCTGGATTGGTCTCTATTTATTTCAGTGGGGACAGTCCCACCTTGTGTGTGTGCAGGTGTGCAGAGCAGTGTGTGCTGATGTTTACTCAGCAGTTGGTACTAATCTCCAGGAAACAACCTGTGCTTGCTGGACTGTGGTTGCGATGTTTGGTAATGTTGTGCAGAAGTACTTGAGAATGCTTTCACATCAGGAACTTCAGCATTAGCCTTGTAGGGGAACAAAAAGTAGAACTGGAAAACACTTCTAGACTCCTAGAAGTATGGCATTTGCTGAAAAGTAAAGTTCCAGAAAACTGAAGCCGCATATAAACTTGAGATAACTTTGATGAATAGTTCTTGGCTGGAAGACAGAAAGGAAAATTTAAATGGTTTGTGTTGATTGTTTCAGGATTAAACATCTTGAATTTTTGTTTCAAATGCTCTCCCTTCTGGCAATTCTCTCAAAACTTCTGGTCATATAAATCTGAGTTACTGAAGATACTACTTGAGGAGTCCTGTCAGAACAATATTTTGTTTAATTGGAGAGTTTTTTTTAAGCTCTTTATTTAGCTGAAAATCTCTGAAGTTTTTCTTTGGAATGTAGCTTGAAACAAATTTTTTTTTCAACTTCTCTGTTAGCTGACTGAACAGAACATGATATTTGCAAGTACCCAAGAGGGGACAATGGGAGAACAAAAAAAAAATAAAAGCTTTGGTTGTGATAAGTCATCCCCTTGGCACAGCAGAACTCCAAGACTAGACCTGGACCACTTGTATAGAGGCACCTGTACATTTCTACACCTTGTAATTGCACCAACATGTGTCTAATATGGGCCACTCTGATGATTTATAGAAGTCATTTATACTGCATTTATATAACAAGTGAGTGGAAATTTCCGTTAACTCCCCCTCCACAGAAGAGACCTGAAAGAAAAAAGGGTTTGAAGGAGGACCGTGCCATGTAGTGATGGGGACATGGTAGTCAGGGGTGGGAGGCAGACTGCAGAAAGGAACAGTACCCGAGACACAGTGAAGTAGCCCGTTCTGCACAGAAAAACACCTCTCCCTTGGCTCCACTCCTGACTGAGTTGGTTTTTCATCTGGTGAAAAATGGGGATGAAATACCTCCCTTGCTATCCTTTGAAAAACACTTCAGTATCCTCAAAGGAGATATAAGAGCAGCATCATTATAAGTGGGAAATGAATTGCTCTCTTGCTGGATTTAGCAGCTTCCTGTTTTGGAAACCCAAGACACCATCTCAAATTTCTGTTTGTTGTCAGCCTAGAAGAAGAGACTCGGAGGCTGCAAAGCTTCTGGTGAGGCAGCGCTTCATTTGCTAATTGTCTCTGCCAGACAATGCCATTTACAATGAGCACAAAATCACCTCTAACCTCCACTGACCAGAAAATCGTTATATTCTTGAACTCCCATCCTTCTGAAACAGTACCGGGCATTGCAAACTCAGGCTGTGTGTGTGTCAGCCCCTCTCATGGGGCAACAAAATACAGGGATACTTATTGCTGGTTCATTTACAAACATCCCCATTTCCAGGCCTAATTACAATATCATAAACATCTGCATTATAAAAAAGATGTTTTGACTTGCCATGCATAATGTAATGAAGCTTTTGCTTTGAGGACTGTTCTGTCCTTTGAGAGGCACAGGACTGGCATCTGCCCTAAGCACGCTGTGGAAGGGTCCAGGTCCTGTGCTTCAGGCTGGACTGGGGTCTCTGGTGCAGGGTAGAGGTTCAGAGAGGCCTTTGGAGTCAGGAGACTGGGGAAGGAAGGGCTGCTTGACATCAGCTCCCTCACAGACCAGTTTTTTTGCACGTTTCTGTCAGAAAAGCTAGTGAAGCTGGGCTTTGCCTCTGTAAGAGCTTTGCAGTAAGGAAAACGTTCCCTGTTTTACAGTTTTCATTGCTCTTTTGCTGTTTTAGGCCATGTTACAATGATTACCATTTTTGCTGTATAAAATTCAGATGTTCTGTCCACCTGCTTCTCCTCCTCCATCAACTGGATGATCACAGTGGCTACATCAGTTTTAGATGGGATCAGACCTGAAAGTGGCAGCTCTGATACTCAGGGCAATGACCTGCAAGGCTTTTTCCCTCATTGTTAAACACTTACTGAAGTTGGAGCACTGAGAAAACCATTGAATCATGCTGTTCAGTTAGTGGATCTGCAGGGATGGTTTTGGCTGTAAGACGTTGCTCTTTGTTTTGGAGACAACATAGCAGAGGAAACTGGCTTGACAGCCACAGCTCAGTTAAATGCTATGGTGACTGCTGAAGGCAACAGAATAAGTCAGTGTTACCCTGGTATACTTTCTCTAACACCAGTCTTTAAAGAGGAGGAGGTTATGTGTATAGTTTTCCTTTGTTCCAAGGACTGCTTCAGGCAGGTCTGACTGGGATGTGACATCTCCTGAGGGATGTGGTTAAAGACACACAAAGTAAACACTGCTGCTTTGGTGACTCCACAAAAATCTGATAGCCAGAGACTGTCATGGAAGTGAGCATCTGGGCAGCAGCGATTCTTCTCATCTCTTCCTTTAGGAAGTTTATGGGACTGCTAAATGTAAGGAACTGCTAAATATCTGGACCTCACATGAAGCAGGAATATATTGTATGTATCTGAGTTGGTTTTACCCATTCTGCAGCAGAAAGAACTGGAGGGATGAATAAATTATTTAAAATTATATGAAATATAGAATAAATTATTAAAAAATATTAAATTATTCTTAATGACCTTTCAAGAGTTTCATGTCAAAATTACCACTTGGCTCTCGGCAAGGGAAGAAGTGATTCTGTAGTAAAGGTGGAGCTCCTTCCAGCAAAAATGAGGGGTGAAAAGGCTTATTTAAACAGAAAGGGAATATCAAACATCTGTGTGATGCAGAGAGGATAACAGACAATGTACCAGCATTAGAATGGAAGCAAAGATGAGTGGTGTCCCTCAGAGGGGACTGAACAATGAAATTCTTAAGCTTTTGCTGGGGTTCAGGTGCATGCCTCCAGCTGGGCTCCTGCTTGGCGGGGCCATGGAAGCCTTCTCCCTCCATCTCCCACACCAACGTTTCACTTCCTCTCTGTGAAAAAGTTAGAAAAAGGTGGGGGCAGAGTCAGAGCTAAGTATTTTGTTAGCTTGGATTTCCAATTTTTAAGACTGTACAAACAGCTGAAGGACTTAATTCTGTTACTGCCGCAGACGAACCTTGTTCTGCTTGGGTTATGCTGAATACACTCATAAACCAAAGTAGCCACAGTTATGAAGAAACGTTGTGCAAAACCCCCATCCTTAATCTCATTTAAGTATGAAACAAGAGGCTGACTTTTTAAGAAGGCCCTCTTGAAGCTTGTCTAAAAGATTAATGAGTAAGTGCAAAGAATGCTCTGGAAGCTCTTGAATGGAGACATTTTATTTCCAAATAACCACAGGAGTAACTGTTTGTAGCAAAAAGATGATTAATGGCATTGCCACCAAAATAAGGTGAGTCCCTAAACTTGATGGCATAGTATTTGCATGTTACCTCAATGTTACAGTTTCTCACACTACCTTTGTTTATTTTTACTGGAAGAAGCACAAGAAAAGCATGATGCTTGCTTAAATCTCCATAAATCCAAACATCTGAAGCTACATTACTCCTTTTTCCTGGCTCTGTTCCTCTCTGAAAGCATGCTGCTTGCATCCTCACTCTCGTTTTTCCCATGAACTATGGGGTGTAGGCCAAAATACCCTTTGCAACTGGTAACTTGCTAGGCACAATAGGTTCCAGTTAATATAACAACTGGATGTTTCATAATACTCGAAGTATCCATGGCATGAATGTATTAAAAGTCCTGAAACTCACAGGAAATATGAGCAGCGTTTTTTGTTTTCCACAGGGTCAATTTTATTCATCTGGTGAAAGCATCTTACAATGACAAGAAAAAGTTAAGTGACATGGAAAACTGACACTGACACCCATGTTAACAATATTAGAGTGGCGTGTAGGACATGCTTTCTATGTGCAAAAGCTGAGCACCTCTCTGTGCACCAGCTCAGTGAGGTTCTTATTTGTATCATTGTGGGCCACTATGCAATGGTGCAGTGTTGCATCCATATCAGTGGTTTTAGCTACTGACTGGCATGTATTTCTGTGGGAAAATCAGCTGGATCTTTTAGTGTCACTTGGGAACCTGCTGAGGTTTGCTGGTGCTGAAGGCACAAGCAAGTTCATTAAAGGCAAAGTTGGAGGAACCATCTTGGCAACTGCTGGGTCAGTGTTTACCTGCCCTCCTGCCAACGTCACCAACTGACAGATGACTCGGCTTCTCATTTCTAAGAAAATAACTTTCTATCTGACCACACACTGACATCTGCAGCACTGAACAATGCCTCAGCAGTAGGGAGGCCATTGCTCGGAGCCAGGCTTAGGGAACAGTCTGAGTGTCATTAAACCAGTGTGAGTGAAGGGGTGTTGGTGAACATGACTGTGAAGCTGGCACCAAGGCAGCGCTGAGAGGCACCCAGACGGGCACTGCAATTGTCCCTTCGGGCATAAAGCAGCTCCCCTTAGCCAAAAAAGGAGGGAAAGATGTCTCAGCTACACATGCCCGTTGCATAATTGTCAAATATGCCTGTAATACAATTCCTTCAGAGGCAATTACTGCTGCAGTGTGGTTGCTTTGGGAAGCCTTCTTCTCCAAGGCTGAACTGCAACTATCAAACCTCTGTTGGTTTGGCTGAAAAAGGATCATGGTAGTGATGTCTTTTTACTAAAAAGGATTATTTCCCACTCTGCTGTCATTAAAACGATATACAAACTAGCCAAACTCATTATTCACCAAGACTCTCTGAAAATGAAACATTTTTTGGATAAAATAACTGTAATTCAAACTGCAGCAGCCAGTGCTGTGCCTGCTTTGGTACCCAGCCAGTGAATTTTAAAGGAAACACCCTCCAGGACTGTTCTCCATTTGAATTTATTAGTCATTACCAAGAAAAGATAATTAGCACTTCTGAAGCATTGTGATAATCAGTAGCATGAACTGTTACCAATAGAAACGGACTGGGGTACTTGTGTGGCACAGGAGTTTGCAGCTCTGTTGTACTCCCTGTACGGCATGAATACATGGGTGGGCAGATCCTCAGCTGGAGGAAATGCTCCTAACTACCAACTGCTCCAATGGAGCTAATGACACTTTACACAGTGTAAAGCTCCACTTTACAGGGGAGCTGTTCCCTGTCCTATTGGGCTTGTCCTTCTGTTATCCTGGAGGCAGATTAATTTTTTTTACAATATTCTTGTTGGCCAAAGGCAATAGCACATACTACTCCTTTACCGCACAACAGGAAAATAGAAGGTAATTATTTTTCTTTTTGTATGCACCCTGCCAACAAAAAGGAAAATAACCTTGTGGTGGAACAAGAGGAACCTGATCCTTTAGGCAGTGATGTGGTTTTTTAATCTCCCTCTTTCAAAACTAATGAATGACAAAACTGTTGGATTCAAGTCTGTGCTAAGAGAATTGGTTCCCCGAACTTATTGTTCCCCAAACTTCCATTACTTATGAACTGTAATAATCATGAGGGATGGCATGTAAATCTTGTGTTCTTAAATTTCAAACCCTGAGTATTAAACATGCCAGGCTTCCAGCCACACAAAGAAGTATTACTGAGCTCAGACAAGTAATTCTATCAGATTTATCAATGTTGCTATCTAAATAAATATCACAATACATAGGCTCATCTGAAATAGTTGTCATTGTTTTTCTGCATCTGGAAGTGTGAGCAAAATCCATGCTGAATAAGAGAGGTAGCATGTAAGCTTGGCAACGCTTCTGTTTTGGTGAGCATGAGTAAAAAAGATAGCTGGAGGATTTACCCCCAAAATACTTGTAAGTCTGCAACAACCTCTTTCTTTCCCGCATTGTACAGAGCATTTCAGGCCAATACAACACCCCTCCAGCCAACAGGCATTGTGTATCCCCTGGGAAGCATGCAGCAAATCTTGGGATTGAGGTCAGTATGCATGCAAAGCACTTTGCAGGTGCTGCAGGGGCTGTGGTGTGGTGTGCTGTGCTGGTAAAGGGTACCTTACCCATGGTGATTCCTGTTCATGCTGATGGCCTTTACTCATGTACATCTTCCTGGAGCAGAGGCTCTTAAGACTGCAATTCCAATGCCAGTAACACTCGTTAATGCACTTGAAAAAAATGGAACCCTGCTGGCAACATCTGACTTGTTGACGCACTCAAAGTATTCATGAATGTTTGCCCCTCTCCTAGGAAGATGACTGCTGTGGCAAGTCTGATTACTGCCAGGATGAAGTTTGCCAGATAGCAACAAACACGATGGGCTGGTGGCTGTTTACAAGCTACGCATACAGAAGTAAATGGGTCTATAAGTGTTTGCTTTTCAGCCGCTGCTGGGAAACAGGCACCCTCCTGCCAGGTCACAGACCAGCTATGTTACAGACCTCTTAAAGCAGTTCCTTGGTCATGGATGCGTAGTTTGTACTCAAATAGCTGTCCAGTACACAGGAGTTGCTATGACAGTGCTTTACAAATATACATTGCACAACGGATCGGTGATGTCGGACCACACTGACTCTTTTTTTCTGTCTTACACTAAAGGTTTGCTTCCACCCTGGAAACTGTGGAGCAGAACAAATACCAGAATATAACATGTATCTATATATGTCTCTACTTACGTGTATTGTCAGATTGCATCTGGCTGTGGAACTGGGTTTAAAACACCTGGGTAACAATTTGCATATTATGCTAACAGCAGCATCTCTACCCCTCCCCTTTCCTCTTTCCCACCTGCAGTGCAGAGCAAGACGACTTCATAGCATCCTTCACACCAAAATGGGTCTCGGCTGTGTCTTTTTGTCTTCATGAAACTCATTTAATTCTGGTACTTTAACACCTACTCTTTCCTCTGCTGCTGGTGCTATTGCAAACAAGAAACGTGTCCGGGTAACACTGTCTCCTTGGAAACCTGCCTCTGGCCCAAAAAAGTCAGTTTTGGTGCCTGCGTGGTACTGGAAAGCCAGAGAACTCATGGGCCGAGCACCTTTTCATGGCTGGGCTACTTTCACCTGGATTGAAACCAGCCTAGATCAGACCTGGAATCCCTGGGTGAATAGATAAATAATCTGGGCTATTGCACCAGGATGATTTAATGGGAAAAAGTAAAAATATTGGCCTGGCATTGCACCAGGCTGCTGAGAGAAACCTGAGAACAGTGTAATTCCCTTGGCGAGCGCATCTTGAGGGAAGGCTGGGGGCAGGAGCTCTGCCATGGTGTGGTCTGGGAGCACTGCGAGGGCCTAACTCTCCATTACCCTGCAGATTTCCAAATAATTGTAAACAACACTGACTTCAAGTCTGCTGCCAGAGCCTCAGGCTCTTTAAGAAATAACCCCAATTCATTTATTGCCTAAAGATATTATTATTTCCAGAGTGAACTAGTTAAGGATCACAATACTGGGTGGAATTATAGTACAAGGCGTGTTTTAGTGCAAACTTACTTATGAAATAGTCACAAATCTTCTTTGGATGAAAACAGGGGCAGAGCCCCCAACATTTTTTTTTTTTTTTAGAAAAGTGCCTGCAGCAAATTTCTGCATCATCTTTATCTTGGGACTGGTCTGGACAGGGCTGGCTCCCGTGGGTCGTGTGACAGCACGGTACAGCTCCACTGCGCTGCCAAGGCCCCAGGGAGGTCAAGCAGAGCTAAGGAGCAGCTTAGCAGGGGGTATTGCCAGCTGTGTCCCCTGCGCTGGCTGTGCCAGCCATGGGGAGGCTGTGCGGATTAGAAGCTCTTCACTCTTACATCTGATACGATACGCAAATTGATCCTGCTCCGCTGAAGGCTCAACTCCATACCTGTCATGTGAAATTTCTAAGGACAATCCAAAGATTTAGTTTCAAGAAAGAAGTAATTCATATATACACACACTGCCTTCAGCATACTTTCCCTTAAAAGACTGCCACCATCTTTTGTATCATGAAAAGATGGATATGAAAATGTTTTGTGCCAGGAACGGTAATGCAGTAGAGTACAGAGTTCAGTCACTATATGATGGTAAATACTATATTCCTCACTAAAAGTGATGGAAGAGGTGATTAATAAGAATGAAGCTTAGAGTTTATAATTAGCTACGTCATGTAAAGCCTTTCAATAAATATGTAAGTGGAGATACATATATGTTTTTAATACTAGTTCAAGTGTGAACTGATTTGGTCTTTGGTCTTTCTGCTTTTGTGAATTATACTGCAATATTAGCTTTTCTAAAAAATAAGTATTTTTAATTTAAATTGGTCTAGGCAAGTGCTACACTAAATACAGTGAGCATATGCAGTATATAAAAGCAAGGCAGGAAAAAGGATTATCAAAATAGCTGAAATAATTTTGTGAACAGCATATACTGCATGTCTATTTGGTGCAATTGTCATTCTTGTCCTGTCAGATGTGGGGAGGCAGCTACATGTTTAAGCACAACTTGGTCAAATTAGTTGGTGCATTTACTCCTGTTTAGAGCAGGTCTGGGCTTTAATTCAGGGCTTGGAGTTTTATCTTTAATGAACACTGAAGGTGCAAGTGCTTTGAACAGCTGTACCCTGGCACGATCTTTGTACAGTCACCTTAAACCAACACTTTGAAATAAGCCTTGATACTAACTTTAACAGGAGGTTAGCCAGGCACCTGTGAAGAAAAAGGCATTCTCTATTTCTGTGTGTTGCAAATTCTTCTACAGTTCAGCTTGTCTCAGCTAAGCATGTAGACCTGAGCCCCATCCTGGAATTACTTGTCCCAGTTCCAGGTTACAATGGCACTTTTCTGTTGGGCTTTTTCTCTGTTTATTTATTTGGTTTTGGTGTCTGTCCAGGGAACGAAGGTGCTTAGCTGCAGGGAAAAGCTTCAGAGCTCCCTGGGTATGACAGTGAATGGGATGACAGGACTGGTGGATTCAAGGTCCAGTGCAGTAAGGAAGCACTCAATGGCTGCTTCGTTTTTCCCCTGAGCTTGCAAGACCTCTCCAAGGCTGTTCCAGGCAATGTGGCTGGTGGTCTGGATACGGATGGCATCTCTGAGGACTTTCTGGGCCAGTTCCCTCCACCCAAGTCTGCTCAGCACCAGGCCCTGTCAACAAACAAGTGATGAACAGTTAACAACAGCACAAAACAGTGGAGGAAATGGAGCACCCCCAGCTCCCACAAAGCTGAGGTGCCGTGTGAGTCCTATGGAGGGGTTATTTAAAAAAATTATTGTGAAAGTGATTTTTTTTTAAGCAGACACTGATCCAGCAAGTGCTCCTGCTGTGTGTTACTGGGAGAGCGTATACTGGTGCTATACAGAAGAAAGGTTACAGGCCCTTTAAGTATCCCTCTCTCCTTGCCCAGAAAACAGAGGTTCAATTACACCCCATAACTTGCACATCTGGAACATCCATCTGAGGTTGAGGAAAAGTCTCTCATCTCCTACATCTCAAGCATATAGAAAGATCTTTCTTCTTAACAAATAGGGGCAGAGGGATGTGGTCCCCTTCCAGTCTTCTATGGGCAGGCTGTATGTAATAGCATGGAATGTAAGCTCTGTCCTCCTGCACTCCAGTGTAGATCCTCAAGCAGTGTGGGGGAGGAGAAGGATGCAGGAACCTTGTTTAAAAAGCTGTCCTTAGGGTAAGAAAAGACACAAGTGGGTGTAACCATCTGGAAGGAACAGGAGGGGGAGGATGAAAGAAGTGTTAGGAAGAACATGTTTTCCTATAGGGCTCTCATGGATGTGGATCTGAACCCACAAAGCACCTAATGAGCCAGACTCCATGTTAATTATACAGCAGTCAACCACACTGAGCCCCGAAGGTCATGAGGGCTTTGCAGGCCACAACGCATTAGTGGCATTTCTCTGTTTCCTCCTGAAGGTGCACACAGCAGGATGAACCTCCCACCAGCTTCACCCAGGGGTGGCCTCTGGAAGAAGCAGCCAACACTGCCGTGTTGCCTGCCAAGCTGTGCATGGCCTCTACCTGCACTCACCCATGAAAATGCTGGAAAGTGGGATGATTACCTCACTTCATGCTTTGCCTGGGAAAACATAGTAGGTGGATGCATATATTTATAAAGAAAATCAGTAGCTTAATCTTTAATGTGCCTAATTGCCTTTAGTTCATATGAAAAGATGTAAGAAACCTGAAATCTCTCACAACTAGAACCTAAGTCAATTTCTGATGAAAGAATGGTGATGCTTTTGGAAATAGTGAAGATTTTTCCTTTCTTGTTTTCTTTGATTTTCCAAAAGTACCATTAGACACAGTGTGCATCAGCATGACTAAGACCCTAAGGCCAGCGATAGTACTAATACCTACAGAAACACATTAATTTGCCTGAGACAAAAATTAAGAAACACCCATTTAATCTAGTACTGGTGATGCTATGAAAAGTTTCAGTGCCTCCTTCTTGCCCATAACCTTGACCTGAATAATCAACTCAGAATCATATCTGATAATTTAGATATGCAGTGGGGGTGTTTTTTCTTTAGGTTTTTCTCTGTGTAGGAAAACAACAAGGCAACGGGGTCTAATCTTACCACTGCCTTGGGAGCAGGCACACATGGCACAGAGGTACCCTGGTGGGAGAGGCTGGTTCCCCTGGAGGTAGCTGCCTGGAGATGACTGCAGACACGTAATGACAGACTGGAAGGAATTTGTGCAATTATAATTTGAGTCACCCGCTTGACAGGGATAATGAGGCATAGAAAGGGCAAATAGTGTGGCCATAGCAAATCTGCTGCTGAGCCAAGAATAGACAGGAGTTATCTCAGCTCAAGTTTGTCCTCAACCACAAACTCACTCTTTCTAAAAACTCTTCCTGTTGCACTGACCGAGCAGAGCCGATTGTGCTCTCTGGTGGCCGGGGACCCATCGCTGTCCTCGCCCTGACACTAAGCAGCATCCAGCCTCTCAGTGCTCTCAGAGGCTGCTGGCCCTGGAGGCACAGAGGCCAGCAAGCCTGTGCAGCTGCTGCCTGTCAACCCTCTCCAACGAGGAGGGGAATTCCCTCCCTGGTTGACATCTCGCGCCTCTCAACAATGCTGCAGTGAAATCCACCTCATCGTAAACTGCTCGTGCAGCACAGCTCCCTTGTGCTCCCCAGCACCCTTGCTGGTCAAGAACCAAAGACTGGCTTGGCTTCCCTGCTACAGCTTCCTGGTGTTTACTCTGCCTGTGCTTGAAGTCCCTGCAGCTGTTCTGCAGCACTGGAGGAGGTTGTATGCAAACCCAGGTACTGTATTCACCTGGGGGAGATGCTGAAGCTGACACCCACCAGTAAGTGCAGCACATGTGAACATTTGCTCATAGGTATTCAGTGCTTTCAAGCTTGCCAGTTTGGCTGAAAAAAGATCTGTGAACTCTCAAAAAGGGCAATTCCAGGCTCCTCAAAGCCAGGGGAAGGCCTCCTGTTGATGCTGCAGTATACTGCATGAGCAAAAAACTGCTGTATGGTTCTGGAGAGAAACACAGGAAATATTTGTTAAACGAGTTTAAGATTTCCTACCTCCTCTTTTCTTACATGCATGGCTGTTGGTAGCAAAGGCTGCTCAGGTCCGTGGCCCTTCCAAGGCATGCCCACCATCCTGCTTCCCTCTTCTGACCAGGAACAGCCCCTATGCCCTCTTCTTGCACACTTGCCTGGATTTCCATGCAGTGTGGGCACATGATGCTGGGCTTCAGGCCTCAGCCCAGGTGGAGGTCAGGGTTTGGCCAACCCACTCTGCAATCCCCATCCTTGCCAATATTCCCAAGCCCCACCACACAGACCTATTTCTTTGCCCCAGAGTGAGCTGTGACAGATGGTGTCAGCCTTTTCAGTGAGGCTTAACTGAAGCGGCAGAAATATGCTGCTGGATATTTAAAGGACAGGTTGAACATCATTAATTCTGTGTGCAGGAGAGTTTCTTGCTTTGGGTTTCCTCTCTCTCCTCTTCCCCTTGCAAACCACATGCATTTTCTGAGAGCTGGAGGCTACACAAACCCCAAGCCTTAGGAAGAAGCAGCACCGAGCACTTGAGTTTCTGTTTCCCTGAGGTATTTGCACTTGAGAGCTTCTCCTTGCTACTGAATTTCTTATTTCCCCATGGAGTCTGGCTTGCTCTAAACAATGCCTGCATGTTGTTGCTATGTAGGTCCAGTTGGAATCTGCCTACAGTGCAAAAGAAAAAAAAATTATATATAAATTCAGAAAGCCACCCACTGACAGGCAATTTGCATTTTTATCTGGAAGATATTTTTTTAAAAAGAGATTTTTCTAATGAAAGTTCATCTCATGAGTTTCTATGGAAACTCATCTGCTTGGTGTGCATGCATAATTTCATAAAGTCAGATCTCAGGAAGATGAGCAATTAGTATAAATACAAGCAGCAATGTGATTAAGGGTTTCATCCTCTTATTCCTGAAGATGGAGGGTGGGGGCTGGGTTTTGTTGTCTTTCCTCGGTTTCTATTTGTGTTTTTGCCAAACTAACTGCAGAAACTGGTGCAAAAGGTAGCCTGGCTTCTCTGCCACCTCCTGGCTAGCACTGGCACTTCTGTTTTTGCCCGGTGATTTTCCTCCCCAAGATGACAAGTACCTCTAAGTATGGTCTTCTCTGTCAGTGATGTTGGTACTGAGTCAGGCCCTAAGGAGCAATGAGGACAGGCTTATTTTTAAACTCTAGCAAATTATAAATAGTAAAAAATCCCAAACCAACTCAAAAGGCGAGTGGGAATCATTTTTCCTTCAAGCTCCTGTGGGCAGCACATCCCCAGAGCTCACGCCCCAGGCCTGTGCTATCCACACACACAGGCATTTCATGTCCTGTTTGTGCTAATACAGCTGCATAGTGCTCGGATGTTCACTCACTCACTCACTCACTCACTCATTCACTTGAGAAGGTCTGAGGGTAACTTGCACAGATTAATTTAGTTTCTTCTTTAGGTCTGAAGATGTACTTTAGATCTTGTAAAAAGAGGCAGACTAGTGAGGCCAGAGCACTGGAAGAAATTATTTTGAGGTGAAGGGCTGCGGCACAGCGAGGCCGGTACAGTCTAGAGGTGTACAAAGGCTGAGGGGGGATAGTGAATTTGGTCTGCTGATTTAGGGTGCCTTTTGCTGACAGCTGGACTCCTGAATTGATGGGTTTTAATTTCAGGGAACAGAGGGTGCCTATGGGAAGCTTTTTCAAAGGTATTTTTGACCTCATCTGCATGCAAAACAAACAAAACCTAAACCACTTCTATGGTGACACTGGGCTGGACTCCCTTGCCTTCAGTGATGTGATACTTAGTAACTGATACTTATGTGAGGCTATTTTTGTTTTAGAATAGGAGCCATATTTCAATTTAAGTTAGATGAGAAAAAAAGTGACTTATTTTCAATTTCTACTAATAAAAAAGTGAGCATAAACTACACGTGAAGTCCCACTTTCAGAAGGTTGTGAAATTTCTGATCTGTGCCTTTATTCCCTGAGAGTTTGACAAAACTTCCTTAAAGGTTGTTAGCTCATAAAATTCGCAGATAACAGTGCAGAAAAGACATTATGGAAGACTACAAAATAAGCCTCACATACAAGCTGGAGTTTATTTTTAGTAATGAAAATCAAAACTTCCTTTGCAAATGTTTAGTTCAAACACCTGATGAGCCGCAGGGAGTTATCCCAAGTCGGCATTCTTGTCTCCTTGCACTAAGGTGGCACAGATTTGCTTGTTCTTTCCTTTGGGGCTTGCATTGGTAAAGAGATGTCCAGACAAACATTTTATTCCATTCCTGGAAGGCTGCTTTTTGTTGTATTTGCATGGTCATCTCATTCTTGGAGAATCTGTATAGGTGGACTAAACTCTATCCTTTACAAATGGATTTTAATAATTACATAAAATGTAAGCTCTCTCTGTCTTTGCATGAGAGACTAATTCCAAAGTGAGGTTGCCTCCGATGCTTGTCTCAACTGAGCAGAGCATTTTCATCTATTATTGTCTAAATATCCTAGGATGTTTCCAGAATAAATCAGACTTTGCTGCTGGGCTTCCTTTAGTGCATTATTTAATTAATTTCAAGGTAGATGCAGTATCCTTACTATCTCCTCCAATCTGTAATACGTACATGTCAC